AAACTTAATAATTTAAATATTGAAGTGAAAAAAAAATTGTGGGATTTAAATAAAAAAACTCTTTTTGTATCATATGTCACAGTCTACTTTGGTTGCACCAAGATTTTATGTTTTAACATTTTTCGATTTTGGGAAGAAAAATAAAAGCCCAGTTATATAGGAGTAGTTAAAAGACTTGGTCTAATCAAGTGACATATTTTCATATAAAATTTCCCCATAAGTTGACCAATATTTTAATTTTGAAATGTCAACCTATACTTGAACCGAGTGATGCATTCAAGTTCCAAAGCTGAGTTGAACTGTCACCTAACTCGTCCAACCCATTAAGATTTGCACCCTTTTCTTAGTAAATACTACATTTGCACCATTTTTTATATATATTATTATAGTAAATACTGGATTTGATGTTCTTTAGCCTTAATTAATTAAGGGAAATGTTAGCAATATTCTCTCTAACATTCTCTTTTGCACTCTCTTTCTTCTTGTCATGACACGTGTCACTTTATTTACACTTAAAACAATGTCATTAATATCAAATAAACTAGTTTTTGTTTTCCAAATTTACCCTTATTAAATGAAACAGTTAATTAAATATATTGACTTCCCTAATTTCTTCAATTTAAAAAATATTTTCTCTTTCAATCACACTCTCAATCCTCTCTCTATACTTTGCAGCGCCCCACAACCCTTCTTCTACCTCCCCACTTCTCCCCAAAACAAACACTAATACCCAACAATGACCCATGACCAATACCCAAACAAGCATATGAAAGAAACCCACTTCCTCTCCCCCTCATTACCACCAAACAACATCTCCCTCATCCCTAACCAACAAACCCCCACAGTCCAAAGATTCCCCCCACCTTCCCACCTCCTTCTCTTTCTCTGTTGTTTGTAATTGAACAATTTTTTATTTTATTTCTCAAATCTCACCACCAAACCACTATTTTATACTTTTATTTGGTTTTGTTTATAAAAAAAAAGTGTTTGAACTTTCATGATTTGGCTAGCATTCCCCATTAATTAAAGCGACAGTTTTTGTTAGTAGAAAATGACCTCCCATCTGCATGTACACTGACGATTGACACTTTTCCAAGAACAACAATAATTGGTTTTGTGTTTCACCCAAGGAGGGACCCTTTTGCTCAATAATCCATCCATCCACAATCCCATCGTTTTCTGTTGCATTTATGAATTCTTCTCTTCCATCAAAGTCTCACAATCTAAACTTTATTAGATGATTTGAGCTCAGTGTTTCACCTATTTACTTTGAAGGTAATCGAGAAATTGTTACGAAAAGGAATATTCAACTTACTCTACATGCAATGCACCACATGTCATCTCCATCTCTTTTTTTTATTTTTATTTTTTCATTCATTAATCTTCTCATAGTGAAATTCACAAAATGAGATTTTCACATCATGTTTGATAGAAAAAAGCATCATAAATGGTAGCTCAAATCGTTACAGAAAGTTCAAAACTACCACTTGATTACTTAAGAAAAGGAAGGATTAAGAGAAAATTGTTACATATTCTGAGGTACTTGGAGCATCCACAATAGGCTCCCTAAACCACATTCTTAGACAAATTTTAGGGAGGAATCGTAAAAATGCAACTCTAACTACGCTCCCTATTCACCTCCTAAAATAGGGAGTCCTCTAGGAGCTCCTAAATCTGAGGAGAGAGAAAGAACTCCTAGTGACTCCCTATAATTTAATGCTGCTTTATTTAATGAGTATTTCAAATCTTTATTTAATGTTAACTATTTTTTATTTTATTTTTTAATAAAGATGGACCAATCAAAAAAGAGTTATAACATTTATGACTCTCCAAATTATGGAGTATGGTTGGAGTTAAAATTTTTTAGAAAGCTCCTAAAATAGTTTTCTTATATTCTTAGCCAAATTTTAGCTAAGAAATAGAGAGCATCATTGTGGATGCTCTTATAAAATTTAAGACTTTCATCCGTTTTACCCTTTGAATTATGACCCTTGCAAAAATTAACTCTTTGAACTAAAAAAGCTGTCAACTTAGCACTTGAATTAATTAAAATTGCCAATTTAGCCATTGCCGTTAATTTTTTTCGAATTTCATCCATTTTTTCCGTCCAAAAAATCATGTGTGACGTGTCATTAACGTTACTTACTATTTTATTTTAGGGTCCTTCACTAATATACCCAAAATAGAGGCTGAAATTATAAAAAAAAAACCCCACATGGAATGCACTTTAGAAACACACCCAAAATTCATTTACTACATAAGAAATTAGTGTTGAAGTTCCAATAAATTACATGACTGCCATTGATCAACTTAAAAGAAGCCCAACAAAAAAAACTTAAACAGCACCCAAAACAAGCCCAGCCCAATTTTATAAAAAAACTCAAACAATTCATTACAAACAAAATGTCTTGAAAACCGTAACTTTATTAACGTGTCATATTGATTAATGATTGTAATGTTCCACACCTTTATTGTCATGTTGATTAATGACTGTAATGTTCCAGTTTAGGGTAATAACACTGCTGGTTTCTAATGACATCTTATTTCTAATGCATGTCTACCCATGTAATGTTCCAGTCTAGGGTAATAACACTACTAGTTTCTTATGATATCCTATTTCTAATTCATATTTACCCATGTAATGTTCCAGTTTAAGATAATAACACTGCTAGTTTTCTATGACATCCTATTTCTAATGCATGTCTACCCATGTAATGTTCCAATATATGATAATAACACTGCTATTTTGTAATGTTCTAGTCTATAGTAATAACATTGCTAGTTTACTGTCATGTTGATTAATGACTATAATGTTCCAATCTAAGGTAATAACACTGCTAGTTTATTGTCATGTTGATTAATGGCTGTAATGTTCTAGTCTAGGGTAATAACACTGCTAATTTCATATGATATCCTATTTCTAATGCATGTCTATCTCGTGTAATGTTCCAGTCTAGGGTAATAACACTACTAGTTTCCTACGATATCCTATTTTTAAGGTAATAACACTACTAGTTTCCTATGACATCCTATTTCTAATGCATGTCTACCCATGTAATGTTCCAGTTTAGGGTAATAATACTACTAATTTTTTATGAAATCCTATTACTAATTCATATCTACCCCCGTAATGTTCCAGTCTAAGGTAATAACACTGCTAGTTTACTGTCATGTTGATTAATGTTTGTCTTGTTACTATTTCTAATACATGTCCACCAAAGAAAAGAAGAAAGAACAAACTAGAGCAACTCAAAACAAGCCGAGCCCATATTGTTAATACTCTGTCATAGAAGTACATTGTTAAACAAAAATGAGATTCATAACTGAAATAGTAACAATGGATAAATCAATTATCAAAGCTTAAAATACATTTCGAAAATCAACTAAAATCTGAAAAGAAACACATAATTGAAGCAAAAGATCAAAAATCTCAAGTCCAAACCAAACAACGACAACGACAACGACAATAAAGATGATGATGATGATGACAACAATGACGTGGTGAAAGAGGAGTAGAGCTAAGAGCATCTGATCGAGGTTCGTTCAAGGTTCCAAATAATCCCGAAAAAAAAATCAATATAAGCACGATTTTAGAACAAGAAATTGAAAGTGAAATATTGAATATTGTAGATGAGAGATGAAGAATATAGCTGGACCTGAGATTGAGCTTCAATGGAAGCTCCTCTTACTCCAACATTGATAAAACCCCAGCAAGAAAGGAGAAAATAAAATCTGATTTGGTTTTTTGGCAGATTTGGTTTTTTTGGCATATCTGGACAGATCTGGGTAGATTTGATTTTTCTCTCTCTAATCCATAATACAAGGGCAATATAGGTATTTTACACACAGAAGAAAAATAAAAAATAGCTATTTAATTTTAAAAAAATTGACAGCTGCGATTTTTGGGTTTTTTTTGTGTGTTTATAGTTTTTAAATGGTATAGGGTTTCTTTATAAGACTATGTCTAAAATTGGGTATATAACTAAATTTGTATTTATTTCATTTGTTATTATAAAAAAAAAAAAAATAGTTAAATAAAAAAAAAAATAAAAAAAAAAAAAAAAAAAAAAAAAAAAAAAAAAACAAAAAACTTCTTTCTCCCCTCTTTTTCTCTCCTCCCTATCTCTTCCCCTCCCCAGTCTCTCGCTCTCTCTCTCTCACTCTCAGAGGAATGTTGAGACAGACAAAACAAACAAGAAGAATTGCTCAAGTAAACAATAGGTATCAGACCTTAGAGCATCTTCAACCGATGTGTCAAAAGTGCCACATAGACAATTAACGGCTAGAAATAACATCTCACATCACCCCAACTGATGTGTCAAAGCTGATGTGGAATGAAGGCTGGAGGTTGATATGTTATTTTTGACATCCCAAAAGCAAGATGTCGAATGAATATTTTATTATTTTTAAAAGATAGTTGGCTTTTACTTTCATTTATTTTTTTTTATCTTAAATGATTTGACTGTTACAATAATTATATATTTGACATATCGGGTGGAGTGTAAAACTTTGTAAATGTCAAATTGCCACATCAGCCATAAAATTTAAATTTGATGGCTGATGTGGCAATTTGACATCTTATACAGCTTTACACTCCACCTGATATGTCAAATTAAATTATTATTTTATTACATTTTATTGTTGATTCATTTTTAATTAATAATAAAAGAAAAGAAAAAAATAATAAAATATTCGTTTGACATCTTGCTTTTGGGATGTCAAAAATAACATCTCAACCTTTAGCCTTCATTCCACATAAGCTTTGACACATCGGTTGGAGTGATGTGAGATGTTAATTATAGCTGTTAAGTGTCTATGTGGCATGTTTGACACATCGGTTGGAGATGCTCTTAGATACCAGTGCATTGACCCTAAAAAATTGCCAACTATGCAAGAAAAATATGGAATCAGTCTTACTTGGTCAATTGATAATTTGAGTGGGAGTAATTATGCGTGGTTCAGGCTCCAATTCAGCCTCAACACCTGTTGAAAGAGAAATAATGACTGGCTTGAAAAGCTGGAGCTCGAAGAAGGTGATGACCAGTTCCCGAAGTCGCCAGCTCCGATTAAGGCGTCGATTATGTTGTTAAGTTATTGGCTGAGGAGGCTAGGGATGGCAGCGACGGAGGTGGGGGGGATATTGGATGGCTGAGTTGTGGCAAGGAGAAGAGGGCTAGGATGGGTGGGTGGATGAGGAAGAGGTTGGTTTGTTTGTTTTTTTTTTTTTTTTTTTTTTTTTTTTTTATTAATATACATTATTTTATTATTATTTTTCCTTTTCGTTTTATGTATTGACTATTATTTTATTCAAATTGATAAATTTATCCTTATTGCTAATGGAAAAATAGATTAAATTTCGAAAAATCTAACAGCAAATGTTAAATTGACCAATTTAATTAATTCGGGTGTTAAATTGATTGACTTTTTTTGATTGGGTCCTATTTCCAAAGAGTGCACGGCAATGGACTCTAAAATTTATATAGTGATCCCACCATGCGCTTTCCCAACCCAAAAAAAAGGGAACCTTCTTTCCATCAACTTATAAAAGTAATCAAAACACAGTAGGAATTTAATACCATATATTCAAAGACTTCATTTTCCGTATGTGAACATGTCATGGTTGTCCACAAAACGTATGTAATAAGCTTCATTACCAAATAAATTAGTAGAAATTGTCTTGTGTGTGGGTTTGCTTTAATTAATCAAAAGGCAGTCTTTGTAGATTGAGAACTAGTCAATTTTAACAATTTAAGAAGACACTTCCACTGTCCACAAGTTTTTTGGTTAAAGATAACGAAGAACTACGTTTTCTCGATTGGGAGAAAAAAGAAAAATACAACAATGCTTTAATATTAAAATTAGGACCAGGGGGTTTGCACCTTAATAAAAATATGTTATTTGTTAATCTCAGTTTGTGTTAAAATTTGCACACAAAAAAATAATCACGCGCTATGAGTGTTGAAAACAATCTGAAAATTTGGCAAAGTTTCACCCATCATGCATGGCACACGAGTTCAGTTGGCTGTTAAAATATATATATATATATATATATATATATCTGAAAATACCTGGTCTTTTCCCTTGGATTCAAAGTGAGTCCTTCATCTTCCAACATCACTTGTATCAAAATATTGGTTTTCCGTTATGCAAACCATGGATGCAAGAGAGTCTAACGCTTAAGCTGTTCGAAATCAATTAGTCAAGCTACTTCACAAACATTATTCCATCACACATTGTATCCTTTTATTTTTCTATTTTTCTATTTCTTTGTCATTGTTTCTCATGCAGCCATCTTATGCGTGCATGTGCGTGCATCTAACTCTTTGAAACTGCACGGTTTTTGCAGATATGGAGTCAATCCACTTTCTCAATTGCAACCGCTATTCATTCAAGGTCCCATCTTCATCATTTTTTTCTTAGCTGTAAGATATGAGAGTCCCTCAGTTTTATAGTATCTTGTTGAAACTATTCATTTGATATTTGATTATTTTCATGACCGTCCAAATTTCAAGTTGTGTTTCATTTTCTGACTCTTGTAAATGCAGATTAGAAACATGGCTGAGGAGAAGGTTCACTGGGTTCACTGGGTCCACTGTGTTTCATTTTCTGAGCTTGGCTTTGAGTGTTGAAGGCTTTAAGCTTGGTTGTATGCATCCTTTCCCTCGATGCTGTAGAGCATACACAGTGAATCACACATGAGTTTCACAATTCTACAAGTCTTCTGGGCAATTTTTGGAAATAAATGTTGGAGAGCTCTAAAAGGGGCGTTTCTTTTATATAAACCTTTTGAGTTAAATTGATGTTATTTTCACTGCTAGTAAAAAATTATAAATGTGAAGATCAAGAAGGAAACTATTTGTGTATCTTTTGGGAACAAAGATAGGCTACGAGGAGATGTGACTAGTAACAACTAAAAATAATATTAGCAGACGAGAGGTTGATGTTAAGGGAGCTGAGCTTGCATCTGATCGAGTTGAATGACTGACTTCAGCAGCAAAGAGATGTTTTTGACTTGAAGGGAATGATTGGCAGAAAATTTCCGCTTTATTCCATGATATAAAATGATATATTTTTTGTACATAGAAAACCATCCGCTGTGAATGTCATATCACACATGAAGGTTGTATGGCTCATAAAACAAATGAACTCCCAATGGATCGAAAAGGAGAAATGAAGAAAAAAGCTAAGTTAGATACAAAGGGAGGAAGTTCACCAAGTTACCAATATATTACTATACACAGAAACCTCCAAGGATAAACTTGTATCTGGAAAGCAAAACTTAGACGCTAATCACTTCATAACAATGTACTACTAGTCATGATGATCTGCGGTAAAATCAGGCTCATCGGGCTTCTGAGGCAGCAGTGGCAGCAATGTCGGTGAAGGTCTAGTGTCGCACTTACCATTTTGTCGCAAGTTTCGTAGTGCATTGGCTGCAAACTTTGATGCATATACAGTGGCAAGTAGGCTTGGTGAGCTTCCAGCTTCTCTTGTCAAAGCATCTTGCAGCCTGTCTTCTGCTTCACGTAAAGACTTCTCAAGCTTTCTCTTGCAGTGCCTGCGCCAAGCTGCTTGTATGAAACAGGCTGACCATGTCCTCCACTGCAGGGAGTAAAACCTGAAAAGTAGACATTATGGCATGAGAAAACTACATACTGAAATCAAAACAAACAAGAAGAATGGTAATCACGTTCCAAATATAATGCTTTGCTTTTGCATAACATAGTTGCGTACTTGAAGAGAAAGCAATGTTCTGAGGTATTTTGCTTAAAAATCAAATGAAGGTGGAAATATGAATCTTTCTGCAACTTTTCTCCTTTGTTTCAGTTCATATTAGTAGTCCATGATGAAAAAGGAAAAAGCATGGTTATTTGAGCCTTGCCTGAAAGTGTGCTGGAGCTGCTTGCTGTGTAGGCGCCGAAACTGGGAGGCAACAAACTTCAAATCATAAGCCATGAGAGCAAAGGCTTCAACTTCTGTTTTAGCTTCCACTGTCCTAGTTGAGATGGGAAGATTGGTGGAGGAGTTTGGATCCAAGGCCCATGTAAGAAGCTCTTCTCCACAAAAGTCACCAGCCTTAAGATCAGCAGTGTTGAAGAAGCCAGTTCTTCCACCATTGGTAGTCATAGTTGCTAAATATCCACGCATGATAAATAGCATCTCATCAACTGGATCGCCTTCTCGAGTGATAACACTCTTGTCTGTGTAAAGAACTGGCTTGAGACGATCACACATGGCGTCCATCAGTTGTTCATCCATTTTCTCAAATATTGGCACCTGAGATAATTAAGTGAGCTGATGAACACAACTGCTAATAGTTGGAGAGAAAATGATGCATAATTATTAGTGAAAGCACTCACTCTCTTGAGAAGAGCCAAGCAAAGATGGCGCTTTATGTCCTTCCGCAGGTCTTTGGGAAGGTTACGAACTAGAGTTTCTTCCTCAACACCTCTTGTTTCTTGCCATTTATACTGATCATAGCATCTAATCCTTTCCCTCAAGTTCTCGGGGAGCATTCGGTGTGACATCCACTGTTCTGCATCTCGCCTTTTCACTCTCATTTCTTCAACTCTCACAGTTGTGGACTGCAGAAATTTCTATAACATCACAAGAAACAAGGTTAGAATGTTAGGCTTTAGCTCATTCAATCCAAGAAGAAAGTACATCAACTAAGAACACTGCTAGCGCTAAGAGATTTGATTTAAGACTGATATCGATGTGTTAATTTCATGTGCTCAATCCGTAGTCTAATTTTTGGCCAGGATGCCATGCATAAGAACAAAGCTGCGTACATCTTTAGTGTTACCCCATAATGCTTACAACATATATAGGTTATCAAGAAAATCACATCATCAAATATTACCTGCATATTGCCAATGAGCAATGAAAATAGCACCAATCCAAAGATAGATATGAACACGGCAAAGACTATCTCCCAAACAAAAGTGCTTGTTTTAAGGTTTTGACCAAAAGAACTGCAAATCGAGTACAGGTTAAAAACGGCTACATGTATGTACATGAAACCTTAAGAAAATTTTAACTGCTAAACTCAGCATGCTAACTGATGAAGAATAAATTTAAAAAGTTTATGATTACAAACCTAAGGTTGCGCAGACCCCACCAGAAGCAGTATAAAAATTTCTTTGGAAAATCTTTGGTCTCTAGCACACCAGACTGCAGAGCATCAGTAAATATTCCAAAGTTGAACACCGTTGAATTTTTTATTTGATCAGGGCCAATAAAAGGGCAAGAAGCATTTAACTTCTCAATCAAGCTAGAGTCAGCTTTATACTTAGGATCACAGTACAGGACTTTCTTACAAACATCATTCCCGTGAAACTGATTACGCCAGCAGCTATACTCTTGTTCCACGGAGAACAAGTACCAAAAGGCCCCAACTACCTGGTATGACACATTCCTTATCAGATCAGAAATCCCACATAATTTCTTGGAGATTGTTGAGGATTCAAAAACTATCAAATCAAAGACTTACGTGACTGGCTAGCATGTAGAGCAAAAGATTGTAAGCAGCTCCAGCCCATGCTGTTTCAGTCAGGAAGCCTGAAGTTCTTGTTACTTCTTTGTATAATGGATAGATCCGCCAAAGCCTTGGCCCATATTGGGCAACAATTACAATCAGCAACAAGTCCTTTGTGACACGGGGAACTGGACGTGATATTGGAATTCTAAAAAAAACAACCATCTGAACAAATTAAGCAGAAAAAAATCGTCGGTATTGTGAATTATGGACATAAGCTACAACCAGAGATATGGTTAATAAAGTCACTCTGTTCTAATAATAAAACCATGTAAAAACTTTAAAAACCTTTCAGATATTAAACAAAGAATTCAGTTTTCTGCAATTGATAATGATTGGACATTCTGTAAAAAGCCCGCAAGTTCAACCTCCTGGCTATACACACAATTACACACATTGTGTCGAGGACATAAGATTAGGACCCCAACTTCTAGTTTGTTCCACTCAAGGTGGTGTTTTTTCTTTAGTTGTTTGGGTGTAAAAGAACCAAAGGAAAGGTATTGAAGTGGAATGCATATTCTGAGTTCTACCAAGGATACAAGGAGACAAGTTGGGAAGAAAGCCTATTCTTATTTTGTATTAGCATAAAACATGAATGTCATAATAGCATATTTGATTGAAAGAACGTTTTCTGAGAATATCTTTATCAATATAACTCAAGCAAATAAAAAAAGGGGGAGTCTGACAAGCAAAAGAAAAGTTAAAAGAATGGTTTGCAATAAAAGGTTAGGGGAACATAATCTGAACTTTCCATAATGTCATCAACCTAAATCTTTCTTATGAAATAAAGGGAAGGGCAGCCACCTGTGGCAGAGGAAAAATAGCTAGAATGTCAATGATGAAGTATGAGGACAAGTATCTTTTTGCAATGGCCACAGGATCGTCAATTAGCTCACCCCTTCCGAATACTCGAGAAGAGGGGGCAATAAAACCAGTGCGAAACTGAAAGATGATATGAAGTATGTGAAAGACATCGGTGAAGGAACGAAGAACACAGGTAATGATCTGCAACCTTTGGTCCCAATCCACGACCATTTGTTCCCCATCAACCACTGCAGTATAAAGAAACAACGGGTCCAAGGACACAGCTATAACACAAGTGATCACAAATATCTTGTTCCAGTTCTGAAGAAATGACCCCTGAGGGTCAAGAATTTTCCTCCTAGAGCCTGACTCCCTTGCTGACCAGTTACCTACAGAAGTGGAACCTAGTGGTTTTTTTCAAGCTTCTAATCCGATCAGAACCCCTCTCTAATCCTCTCCGGAGACCCCTAAGAACTGCATTCACAGATGGTCTAGCTCTTCTTGGATTTAGTCCATGACCAGTGGAAGCTTCGTGCTCAGAGCTTACAGATCGATCCGAATGCCAATCTTCAAACCTGGATAAAACAACAAAAGTAACACAAAGTCACATGAATTTGTAACATCACAGAGGTGCACAAACAATTGTATAAAATAAGATTCAGATACAAAAAGTAACACCAACAACATTGGACTTTATTGGTACTCAAGACTTGAACAAACTAACCTTACAAACTTATGCCCCACGGAATTCATATTTTGGTATCCGGATTTGGTTCTTTTACTGCTTGAAAGAGCTGATATCCAGGCCCTGGAAGAACCCAACTCTTATATTGAAATTTTCTTCACTAGAAACTAGAAGAGGCACACAATGATAGACTTAATCAGAAGAGCATTAGTGATTAAAACAACAGCTCTCAATGAAAGTTTCAATATGAAAAGCCAGTCAATGTTTCGATACTTGAAACAAAATAATTATGCAGTGATCATATTCTTCTAGGGATAGTATTACCGTAAAATGTCATTGTAAACGCATTGACTGAAAGACTGAACCAAAGATAGAAAATTACCAAAATAGGAGAAAGACAATGATGAACATAGCAATTGAAAATAAGTCATAAATCATTCTAAATAGCATCAAACATGAAAATAGAAACAATCACCCCTTACACAAGTTAACTTTCTTTTTGGTTTCTGAGATAAACAAAAACTCAACAGTTATGTGCTTTATGTTGTACCTTATATTCCTACAGCATGAAAAGCTGAAAACCCATGTCAAAAAAAGCAAGACTGCTGCATCAAATCAAACCCAACTGGATGAAGTTTCTTTCATTTATCAGATTCTTGACTTTTTCTTTTCTTATCCCATCTTTTCTCAGGCCTCAAACAGAAACCCAAAACCAGAGAGAACCTGAAGAAATTAGAGCAACAACAAGATGAAGAGCTTGTAGAGAAATTTCGTTCTGACAATCAAGAGATGTTTCGCAGAGAGAAACTATAAATGGCAGTTAATATTGTGTGAGTTTCAAAGAGAGATAATAATAGGGAGGGAAACAGGGTACAAAAGGACACCACAGGCAGAGTCCATGCTTGAGAAGAGTCTCAAGTCAAGCCCAACGAAACTCCAGAGAAATTCATGATGGTTAAGCTATTTTATTTTCCATGATTTTACTAGATAATATATACTGGTGGCCCTGTGGCAGTGGGCCATATTTCTGGGGCCCACCAACTACCATGTTGAACATTTGACTATGATATTTTAATTAATAGTAGCCTAAATGTGGAAATCACATAAATTAAGGTTAAAATTAGTTTTTTCTTAATTCGTTTATAGAGTTTTTCTATTTAAACCTTATACTTTTTTTTCTAATTCAAATTTTCACAATTTCTAAGAAAACCCCACTGTCTTCTCAAATTACCCCTAAATACACACCTAACAGAAAAAGAAAAAAAAATTCATCAATCTCACACCCCACATCACGCTATCTTACTCCTCATTACTCTAAGTTTTCCTCAACCTCATATTACTTAAAGAGATAAAAACATGGTTATCAAATTTGTACCAACATTGAGAATGAACTAGGAGGTTTTGTGAATAGAAGATGAGAGTGTACTAGGTTTTTTAGATTGAAAGATGAGTAATCTAGTAATAGGGTGTAAAAGAGTTTGTGTTTTTCTAAAACTTAATATGAAGAGTGATGAGGTGTGTGTATAGATGTACTAGGGTAAAGTATTAAGTTGGATGACTTTTTTTTATCTTTTTACACAATAATAAAATTTAAAAACTTAATAATTTAAATATTGAAGTGAAAAAAAAATTGTGGGATTTAAATAAAAAAACTCTTTTTGTATCATATGTCACAGTCTACTTTGGTTGCACCAAGATTTTATGTTTTAACATTTTTCGATTTTGGGAAGAAAAATAAAAGCCCAGTTATATAGGAGTAGTTAAAAGACTTGGTCTAATCAAGTGACATATTTTCATATAAAATTTCCCCATAAGTTGACCAATATTTTAATTTTGAAATGTCAACCTATACTTGAACCGAGTGATGCATTCGAGTTCCAAAGCTGAGTTGAACTGTCACCTAACTCGTCCAACTCATTAAGATTTGCACCCTTTCTTAGTAAATACTACATTTGCACCATTTTTATATATATTATTATAGTAAATACTGGATTTGATGTTCTTTAGCCTTAATTAATTAAGGGAAATGTTAGCAATATTCTCTCTAACATTCTCTTTTGCACTCTCTTTCTTCTTGTCATGACACGTGTCACTTTATTTACACTTAAAACAATGTCATTAATATCAAATAAACTAGTTTTTGTTTTCCAAATTTACCCTTATTAAATGAAATAGTTAATTAAATATATTGACTTCCCAAATTTCTTCAATTTAAAAAAAATTTCTCTTTCAATCACACTCTCAATCCTCTCGCTATCCTTTGCAGCGCCCCACAACCCTTCTTCTACCTCCCCACTTCTCCCCAAAACAAACACTAATACCCAGCAATGACCCATGACCAATACCAAAACAAGCATATGAAAGAAACCCACTTCCTCTCCCCCTCATTACCACCAAACAACATCTCCCTCATCCCTAACCAACAAACCCCCACAGTCCAAAGATTCCCCCCACCTTCCCACCTCCTTCTCTTTCTCTGTTGTTTGTAATTGAACAATTTTTTATTTTATTTCTCAAATCTCACCACCAAACCACTATTTTTTATTTTTATTTGGTTTTGTTTATAAAAAAAAAGTATTTGAACTTTCATGATTTGGCTAGCATTCCCCATTAATTAAAGCGACAGTTTTTGTTAGTAGAAAATGACCTCCCATCTGCATGTACACTGACGATTGACACTTTTCCAAGAACAACAATAATTGGTTTTGTGTTTCACCCAAGGAGGGACCCTTTTGCTCAATAATCCATCCATCCACAATCCCATCGTTTTCTGTTGCATTTATGAATTCTTCTCTTCCATCAAAGTCTCACAATCTAAACTTTATTAGATGATTTGAGCTCAGTGTTTCACCTATTTACTTTGAAGGTAATCGAGAAATTGTTACGAAAAGGAATATTCAACTTACTCTACATGCAATGCACCACATGTCATCTCCATCTCTTTTTTTTTCATTCATTAATCTTCTCATAGTGAAATTCACAAAATGAGATTTTCACGTCATGTTTGATAGAAAAAAGCATCATAAATGGTAGCTCAAATCGTTACAGAAAGTTCAAAACTACCACTTGATTACTTAAGAAAAGGAAGGATTAAGAGAAAATTGTTACATATTCTGAAGTACTTGGAGCATCCACAATAGGCTCCCTAAACTCTCAAGAAATAAGGGATTGGCTGAATATTTTCGTTGTATTGATAAAAGTCTACAGACCTAGTTATATATACATTACAATTCCTATTTCTAAGGCGTAGAAGCCTGATCCACTTTAGGTGGGATTTGACCTAGAACAATACAGGAAAGTAAATATATTACAATATTATTTCCTAGTACAACAATATCTCGTAATACTCCCCCTCAAGTTGGAGAGTGAATATCATGAAGACCCAACTTGTCTCGTAGTGTCACAAATTGATCCTTTCCCAAGGCCTTCGTAAACACATCTGCCAGCTGGAAGCGTGTAGGTACATATGAAGGACTAATCATTCCGGCTTGCAATTTTTCTCGAACTATGTGACAATCTATTTCAATGTGCTTTGTACGTTCATGAAAAACAGGATTTGCTGCAATATACAAAGCTGCCTGATTATCACAAAATAATGGCACAGGAACTGTCTGTAGGACCTTTAAATCCTGTAATATGTAGCGCAACCAAGTCAGCTCCAAACAAGTATTAGCCATGGCTCGATATTCAGCTTCTGCTGATGATCTAGAAACATTAGTTTGTTTCTTGGATTTCCATGAGATTAGGGCATTTCCAAGAAAAACACAATATCCTGTAACTGACCTCCTTGTGGCACGACAACCTCCCCAATCTGAATCACAAAAAGCTTTCAAGGCAAGATTGTTAGAGGCAGGAAATAACAAACCTTGACCAGGAGTACCCTTGACATATTTGAGGATCCGTAAGGCAGCATCCCAATGAGGTTTTCGTGGTTGATGCATAAATTCACTCAATGTTCGAACGGAATAGGCTATGTCAGGCCTTGTGACAGTGAGATAAATCAGTCTACCAACCAGTCTTCTGTACTTAGTTGGATCATGCAGCAGTTCTCCATCTGTGGGAGTTAGTTTCAAATTTTGTTCCATTGGAAAGTTGTCTGGGCGTGCCCCCAGAAGTCCTGAATCTTGCAAAATATCTAGTGCATATTTTCTTTGAGACATAAAAAACCTTTCTTGGAGCGGGAGAATTCAATGCCCAAAAAATATTTCAAATCTCCGAGATCTTTGATGCGGAAGCGTTTCAAAAGGAATGTTTTGAGGTGTTCCATTTCCTGAAGATCATTGCCAGTGAGAAGTATGTCGTCAACATAGATAAGTACAGCAGTAAATGAAGTGCCTTGAGCTTTGGTAAAAAGAGAGTAATCAGCCTTTGATTGTTGATAACCAGCTTTCTGAATGGTGTCTGAAAAGGTGGAGAACCAGTTTCTGGAAGCTTGTTTGAGTCCGTAAAGGGACTTGTTGAGCCGACATACAGTGTTCTCCCCTGTCGGCGAAGACCAGGAGGAGGTTCCATGTAAACCACTTCATTCAAATCACCATGAAGAAAGGCATTTTGAACGTCCAGTTGATGGATGAACCAGTGGCGGGCAGCAGCAACAGTGAGTAGACAGCGGAGGGTGGTGAGTTTGGCTGTAGGAGAAAAGGTTTCTTGGTAATCAATTCCCTCAACTTGAGTGTAGCCTTTAGCAACAAGGCGAGCTTTGTA